CAAAAGAACTAAACAACCACAAGCTGCAGATGTTATCTCAGAAATTCACGTGCTTGCACACAGAGAGTCCAGGCTCAAGTTCAGACTAAAATGTAAATGATCCCCCTCCCTCTCCCCCCACCCCCCTCCCCTGACAACATGAAGGAAGGCCTTTCCTAAACTCCTTAGGCAAATTCTGCCTCAGTGTCTAGCCTGTGCCCTGAAGAGTGATCTTTGCAATCTGGGTTACTTATTCAATAAATACTTGCCAGGTGCAGAGAGTATTAGAGATATCATTTTAAGTAGCAGTAGTGGGTTGTATTTCTATGGCTCTCCTCAGAGACTAGAAACTCATTTTCTTTTTCCAACAGACCCAGGAACTTGGCAATATTATTATTACTCCCGTCCTATAGATGAGGAAACTGAGTCACCTGAAACTAGTGGACTTGTCCAAGGTCAGGCAGCTTGGAAGTGGTAGAGCCTGGCTTTGAATCTAGGCAGACTAGTTCCTAGGCACTCTGCTGTCTGGCCTCCTTGGGAATCTGATAGTGAATAGAAGACAAAGCTTCCCCTGGCTTGGGGGTGAGTCTAGGCTGGTAGACTACTTCCTAGCACGAACTAAGCCCTGGCTTCAGTCCCCAGGGCCACATAACCAGGGGGCTGATAATACATGCTTGTGGTCCTAGCACAAGAGGAAGAGGCCAGAGCTTCAGAAGTTCAAGGTTATCTTTGGCTATTCTGTGACAAACTTTTCCTGGGGAGATGCAATACACACATCTACTCACCCCAGATAGGGAACCCATGACAAACCAAAGTTGAGATACCACCAAGGAACAATTTGGTGAACCGTGAGTTTTATGGGGTTACTTACAGGAATATGGGTGAGGAGTTACCTGCAGAGGCAGAAATGACTCAAAGACAACAGTATCACCAAAGCTCACCCCAGCGTGGGTGACAGTTCACAAAGCCGAGCACACTGCACAGCCTGCAGGCAGCTCACCAGGTCGGAGAGTGTCCTTTCCAGGTGCCTCAGTTGGTCTAAAGCTCTTCCAGGCAGCTTAGCTTTCCTCTGTCTGAGGAAGGTGTCTTAGTCGGTGTTCTAATGCTGTGAAGAGACACCAGGACCCTGGCAATTGTTACAAAAGAAAGCATGTTATTGGGGCTTGTTTACAGCGTCAGAGATTTTAGTCCATCATGGCAGGGAGCATGGCGGCACACAGGCAGACATGGTGCTGGGACATAGCTGAGAGTTCTACATCTGGATCTGCAGGCAGCAGGAAGAGAAAGGGCCACCGGGCCAGGCCTGGGTTCTTGAAATCTAAAACCCACCCCCAGAGACATACTTCCTCCAAAGGACACGCCGCCTAATCCTTTTAAGAGCGCCTGATGACTCCCTGATAACTAAGCATTCAAATATATGAGCTTATGGGGGACTCTTATTCCAGCCACCACAGGGGAATTCTCAGAGTTTTTCACTTAATCTGTCAGGGAGGGGCCTAGTGAATCTGGTCAGTTTCAGGGACTTCCTGGAGCTATTTTGAGTTGTTTCTCTTTCTGCTTAAAAAGGCTTTCTGTGGGGTAGAATGTTTTGATCTCGGAGGAGACTGTTACGCAGCAGCAACACAGTAAGTTCAAAGTCAGCCTGAGCCACACCAGACCTTGTCACCAACAACTTCACCCAGCTTGCCTTCCGATTTGGGGGACATTGGAAATACATATCTACAGTGATTTCTTCAAGTGGTGACAATTCTGTGAAGAAAATCTAAGGGCAGCAGAAGGCTGAGCAGAGGCCTTGAAAGTCACAGCCAGGAGTCCAGAGTGCGATGAGCGACTGTGGGGGAGTTGAAGGCAGGAGGATGGATGAATGGACGGCTCCTTTGCATTTCATAGAGAGTTCTGGCTGCACAGTGGCAAGCAGGTGGGGTGGGGAATTCAAGAGAAAGTAGGTAGGTTCTGATGGACAGGTGGAGGAGAACTGTGGCCTGAGCCAGGATTGGGGGTGGGAAGTGTTACGGAGGAGGGGCTAGACTGGGGTCCTGGCTTGGTGGGGTGGGGCCTAGTGAGCTCGCCAGTCTGTGTGTTTGATAAAGAGGGTGAGGGAAAAGAGCCCACGTAATGTCTCTCCAGATTTCAACTTGAACCATTGGGTAAAGCAGGGTGCTTCAAAAGAATATGCATGTTTATTTCATGTGACATTTTAATACAAAGCATTCATCTTCTAAGTTAACGCTCAAGCACCATGCAACCAAGGTACCAACACACACATACATACACTTACATACATATATACACATGTATACATGCATACAGATACACATACACATCTCATCATGATTTAAGTATGTTTACAATTCTATGTTGGGTCATATCCATAGCTACCGCAGGTCACATGTAGCCTGAGAATACCCATGAGCGCCCGTGAGCAGCAGGTGGGACATCCCTGGTATAAACAGTGGTACCTCCCACCGAGGAAGAGAAGGACAGAGAGAGTGTGGGTTTGTTTTTCTATGGTGGTGGTAGGCATGAGGGTGCTGAATCTCAGCTTCTGTCTTGGATGTCTAAACTTGAGATCTCAGGAGACTTACAAGTTGTAAATAGAGGCTCATTCATCAGGCCTGGCTGGACTTCTCACGTGAACATCCTCAGTGTATAGGCCAACTGGATCTCCTAAGAACACATCAGACAATTAGACTTCCTGTGTGGGAAATGTTGCATCATGGTGCTGTGGGGACCGCAGATACCAAGGACTTAAAATGTGTTTGGTACAGCTAAGGATGTGAGTACTTAATTCAGTGAGATTCAAATGATTGTATAAAACCCCACAGAGCTAGGAAGAGACAAGCTGAAGAGTCAGAAGAAGTCAGGAGGAGCCTCAGCATCCACGGAAGCAGCCTGGGCTGCCTCCAGGCACATCTGTATTTAATTAGGCTATTCCCACCACCTGGTAATCACCTGGAGGGTGTGCTGAGTAATAAAAGTTGTGCTTTGGACAGGTGCAGTAGCACTCACGAGTCAGAGGCAGGAGGATCTCTGTGAGTTCACGGCTAACATGGTCTACATAGTGAGTTCCAGGCCATTCAGAGAGCTATAGAGAGAGACTCTGTCTCAAAGAAAGGAAGGAAGGAAGGAAGGAAGGAGTCCAGAAAAGAGCAAAGTGCATGGAATTCCAAAGAAAGAAGTGCAGTTAGCTGGAAAATAACTGCAGCCCTGTATGTGTTCACTGAAGCTTTCAGGTCACCTGTATTTCCCTGCTATGTTTTGTGGAGGATTATACAAAAAAGGCAGCTGAATGAATTTGGAGACAGGAGTCGGGTAATGTCTGAGGAATGTTAAAAGCCTGCTGCTCACAGGGCTGAGGAGATGGCTCAGTGGGAAAGAGCACTTATTCCACAAGCATGAGGATCTGAGTTTGAATCCCCAGTACCCACATAAAAGTTGAGCATAGCTGTACCTACCTGCAGCCCCAGCACTGAGGGCAGAAATTTCAGGCTCAGTAAGAGACCCTGTTTCAAAGGAATAAGGCAGAGAACAATAGAGGAAGACATCCGATGTCCTCTTCTGGACCCTGTATGCAGGGCCTGCACACCCACATACATGCATACACTCATACAACATGCATACATAACATACAAGAATCCACTGGCCAGGGACTTCCTAATGTGAATGTCCCTTTAAGGTGACACCTGTTTCTCTATGTTGGTGCAGCTGACTCATTTCCCTATCCAGCTACAAACGGGTAAGTAGCTGCCTTGTGCTACAATCAGGGAGGCCTGAGTCAATAAACAATGAATGAATGAATGAATGAATGAATGAATGAATGAATGAATGAATGAATGAACGAATGAACGAAATGGAAAGATGGGCTGTTGCTTTCATTAAGGTTGATTACTGCTCCTGTATTAGCACCTTCAAACCTCCCAGTGACCAACACCTTCAGGGAAAATGACCCTTCCATGCTTAATTGGCAACAAGTGAGTGTGTGAGTTCCAGCTTTTAGGAAAGTAAGCCAAGGTCAACCCCCAGTGTGTGGTGCAGCACAGGAATCTTTTGGGCAGGAATCTTTTCCTACAAGGTTCATGTGGGGTTGTGTGCTTGTAGGAGCAGGGCTCTAGGTCACTAACCTGCTCTAATGGTTCTTTTGCTAAATTGGACTGCAGATTTACAGTATTTGAAAAATGAAAAGAAGTTAGTCGTCAGGTTGGCAAAATGGCTCGGTGGGTAATGATGCATGCTGCCACGTTGGTGACCTGAGTTCAACCCCTGCATACCATGTGATAGGAGAGAAGCTACTCCTCCACGTTGTTTTCTGGCCTCCACATTACACACACACACACACACACACACACACACACACACACACACACACTCACACTCCGAAATAAATTAAACGTAATAAAAAATGTTTAAGTTAGTGGTCCCCACTGGAAGTTCATTTTCAGCTAAGGATACAGGACTGTAAAGTGGTAGTGCCTAGACCTGGTACCATAGTTATTGAGAGCCCAGAGCCTGGGATGTTCCCACACAGCGGCTGGGGTTAGATGCGGGGGGAGGGGGGGGTCATCTGATGTCTCAGAAAGGGTCAACTGCTCGTGGAAAAGGCTCAGGAGATAACAGCCTGAGAGCGACGGCCGCCTTCACCTTGTCCACAGAGAGAAGGCAGGGTCAGTGAGCCCTGGAGGCAGGACAGGCAGAGGCCGAAGACAGAGAGTAGATGTGCCCATCCTGCTCCTGTTCGTTCCAGAATATTCCTTGGGAGAAGATGGAGCTCTGCATCTATGACTCCCTTTTTCTCAGGAAAGTGAAAGGAATGACAGGCAGGAAGTTGAGATTAAAGGGACAATTAGGTCATCTTAGGAAAGAGCAGCTGTGGATTTATCTCAGGCTGGGGAGCAACTATGAGCTAGCTGTCCGGGGGAGGAGGAACATTCTCTCAACATCAGTATTGATCATGGATGTTGTAGAGTCTTTCCCTACCCCGTCATCCTTCCCTGACATGTGACCAGGCTCTTCTTGTCTTTTAGTATCCGAGTTCCAGGAGGAAGGAATGAACGCCATCAACCTGCCCCTGAGTCCCATCTCCTTCGAGCTGGACCCCGAGGACACCATGCTGGGTAAGGGCCCTTGTGTCTAGAATAGCTTAGTGCCCACAGCTTAGACACGCCCACCGAACTCCTTTTCTTTTTCTATAGCTCTCGTTCCAGTTTTAGGATTGTTTTCTATTTTTTAATTTAAAATTTTTAATCTTTGAGAATTCCATACATGTATGTAATGAAATATGATTGTATCCACTTCTGTTTTCTCTCCAACGTCCAAATCCCCCAACGCGTCCCCCTTCCCATTTCATCTCTTCCTCCTCCTCCTCTTCCTAATGACCCACCAAATCCAATGAATGCTGCCTGTATGTGCAGAGCTGAGGAGCCATCCACGGGAACATAGGCAGCCCACAAGTGGATACACCACCCAAGAATCATTCATTCTTCCTCAGCAGCCACCAACTGCCTCTAACTCCTCGGCAAGGGGCGGAGCCTCTGGAGCCCCTCCTCCATCCAGGCTGGAGTTCTCCCTGGCTTGATCTTGTACACATCTGGTTCAGGGAGCCACAGCTGCTGTGAGTTTGTGAGTGTAGTGGCCACAAGTGTCCAGAAGCTGGCGTGTCACGGTGCTCCTCTCCATCCTCCTCTGGCTCTTACATTATTGCTGTCCCCTCTTCCTCCATGTTCCCTTGGAGCTGAACGCTCACAGTTACCGTCTCCCAGCACTTTGGCTGCTCTCAGCCTTCATCAGAGAAGCTTCTTTATGCAGTAGGCGGCAGCCCAGTGCAGAAACTGTTTCCTTTTACAGAGGAGAATGAGGTGCGGACGATGGTGGATCCAAACTCACGCAGTGATCCCAAGCTTCAAGAGCTGATGAAGGTAAGAAGAAATGAGGAGAGCTTTGGCAGGTGTCCACAGACTTATTCTGTGGAGGCACCATACAGGGGACACTACAAGAAGGACACAGTCCTCCCTCAAAGGAACTTAGAAAGTCAGAATTAGGAATAGCCCCATTTTCCAGATGAGGGAACTAAGTCTTAGGAAGCCGAGTGAATTGTTTATGATCTAGCTGGTTTAGAGAGATGGAATTAGGGGCTGGAGTGTGGCTCAGCTGGAAGAGTACTCTCCTAGCATGCACACAGCTCTGGGTTTGATCCCCAGCAGAGCATAGCCTGGCATGGTGGCACATGACGGTAATCCCAGCATTTAGGAAGTAGAGGCAGAAGGACCAGAAATCCAAGGTTACGCTGAGCAACATAGAGTTTGAGGCTAGCCTGGAGTACTTGAGACTGTCTCAGAGGAAGAAAGGAAGGAAAGAGGAAGAAGTGGGGAGGAGGGAGACTATATGTTACATGTAGCACTTTGGCCACCATGCAGTAACTCCTCTGCCATTCACCTGTCCCTTCTTGTCCCCCGACCTGTGCCCCTCCTCTTTGTTCACAAGTCCACTCCTAGCGTCTTCCTGCTCAAAGCCTGTCTGTGGTTTTCTATCAAATGCAGGGTCTCGTGGTATTTGAGTCTTTGCTCTGGCTCTCTTCAGCCTCAGATCATCTACCTAGCAACACGGGGACAGCTGAATGCTGGCTGCAGCACTCCCTGTCCCCAGGCCTCTGTTTAAGCAGCTCCCTCTGCTTAGATTGTCTCTGGCTTCCTGTACACCACTTCCTCCAGGAAGTCCTCTCTGATGACCACTGCTATGACTCAGCCTCTCTGTGTAGCAGTGGCCCCTTGGATTTAGTGCGTCAGTGGAGTCTCCACATGCTCCAGCTCCTGGAGTAGGTGATCACTCTCTTGCACACTCCCTCTCCCTTCCTCCCTCGTTACCCCCTCCCCTCCCCTCTCCCTTCCCCTCCCCTCTCTCCTAGCCTCCCTGCCAGTGGGCTGCTTAGGTTTAGAAACTTCCCTTTCTTTGGAGCCATTCTATCCCCAAAGTCTAGCATAGTATGCCGTGGATAGCAGGTATTTCATATACGTGGGCTGGAAGGGAGTGAGGAAAGGAAGAACCTTTCATAAAAGCCAGCAGATGGGGCCCTGGAAGAGGGCTTAGTGAGTGAAGGCTTGGTGTGCGAGCATGAGGACCTGACTCTGGATCCTAGAACCCACGGGATGGAAACCAAGTGTGCTGGCAGGCGCTTGAAGCCTTTCACTGAGGGAAGAGGGGTGTGGAGAGAGCGGGTCTCAACAAAACGTTCAACTTCAGGTTCATTGAAGAAACCCCGTCTCAGAAAATTAAGGGGAGAATAAGTACCCAAGGGCGAGTGTTGGATGTGCTGAGGTCTGCTTCCATGGAGTATTTGGCCATTGTCGTGGGTAATTCTTGTCTACCACCTACCATGGAGAGTACATTAGTCTGCACCGTTAGGGATCAGGAGCCAGAGGCTCAACGGAAGTAACAAGCTTGCCTCAGACTCACAAATGACAGAGATGGACACGCACCCGCTCAGAGATGACAAGAGTGTACACGTGCACCGGGCTGTGAGTAGATCCCAGAGGGGCAGACCCATGTACATCATGGACACCAGAGAGGGGCAGACACTTGTGTGCACAGCTGTAGATGGCTGTGGTGCACACACAAGTTAGTAGGTGGAGCTGGGGTTCTGACCCATTCACATGACTCCAGAGGCCATACCCTTGCCTGGTATGAAGCCCATCCCATTGGGGGAAGGGCTGGCAGAGTCAGGGCAGGTCAGCTGACTCACTGGTACTGCCCACACTAGAGAGGCTAACTGTAGTGTCTTAGTTAGGGTTTCGCTTGCTGTCATAAAACACTGATGATAAGCAACTTGGGGAGGGAAGGGTTTATTTCAGCTTAGAATCTGTCGTCCATCACTGAGGGAAGTCAGGACGGGAACTCAAACAAGGCAGGAATCTGGAGGCAGGAACTGATGCCCAGGCCATGGAGGAACACTGCTTACTGGCTTGCTCCTCAAGGCTGCTTAGCCTTATAACACCCAGGACTACTGGCCCAGGGGTGACACCTCCCACAATGAACCGGGCCCTTCCCAGTTCAATCACTAGTTAAGAAAATGTCCCACAGGCTTGATGGAGCCAGGTCATTGGAGGCATGTTCTCAACTGAGGCTCCCTCCATCAGATGACTTGAGCTTGTGTCGCGTTGACAACAAAGTAGCCAGCACACTCTGCACATGCTCAGGGGTTACTGGGGTTCACACCTACATTTGTACCCTGCTCCCGTGACTGCTCTGTTGCTCTTAATCAAGACTGAAGTTCCTGTAGATTTTCATTGTCCAGCATGAGAAAGAAAGCTGATTTCCAAACACACAGGCAGCAGCTCTTCTCTGACCCTCACGCTCTCTCTCTAGGTGCTCATCGATTGGATCAATGACGTGTTGGTGGGAGAAAGAATCATTGTGAAGGACCTGGCTGAAGATCTCTATGACGGCCAAGTCCTGCAGAAGCTCTTCGGTAGGAGAGGGGAGACTCAGGGATGAGAGCCGGCTCTTAGCCAAGAGGCAGGTCCAGGTCTCAGTGGCTCACCAAGAGGGGTTTTAAGTGGACAGAATGGAACAATGGAAACACGGGCCCTTTAGCTGCCCTCTGGGGGTACAGCTCTATATGATGGAATTGTGGGAAGGGTCTCGGGGACCACATAGATCTGCTCCCTGGCCTGCTGGGTCATCAGCTGGGTTGATGAGAAGCCCCCACTGCAGAGATTCAAAGCACACCTCACACACACACACACACACACACACACACACACACACACACACACACCAGGAAACTGATCTCAGGGCCTCACTAGGTAGATTTACACATGTGTGAGTGGCCCCTTGTGGTCTTTAGACTTCTGTGACTGATGGGTGTATGGGTATGTGCGTGTGTATATTCACCTGGCAGGGAGGCACTATGATAGCAGGGACCTGCGGACATGTGTGTGACCCTTTGTGGTTTATGTACTTGTCTGCACTCCTCTGTGGTCTATGGGAGTGTTCATGTGTGCGTCTCTTGTTGTCTACAGACACATATGAATGTGTATGTTCTTCTGTAACCTACTTTGGTATACGTGCCTTTGTGTGTCTATGGAGCTGTATGTGTTACTGTATGATCTGTAGGTCTGTGTATGTTCCCGTCATCTATAGAAGCCTGTATGTATGTCTGTTGTCTGTGGACATGCATGTGTGCAGTTGTGATATATGGGCCTATGTGTGTTCCTCTGTCCCTCTCTAAGCTGAGTGCTCCTAAGTATAAAGTATATGCTCGCTCGCTCTCTCTCTCTCTCTCTCTCTCTCTCTCTCTCTCTCTCTCTCTCTCTCTCTCTCT